CCGGTCCGTTGACCAGTCTTAGTTTGCATCATAATATAATGCAGGTCAACTGGCATCAGTACATTGATTTTACGAGTATGCAATTTGAAATACTAAGTGACACTTAAGCTTGAAAAGGAGTAATAAAAAAACACTTACCTTGTCTTTGTTCAACTCATGATTTACTAAATCTTGTTCAGTATAAACAGTTCAAAAGTAAATGCACTATAAAGAAAAAAACTGACTGAACATGTTGTAAACTCTGAATTATACAATTATACAAATAATATGTGATATGTATGTAAAAATACAAATAACTATTGTATATAAAATACAATTATTTTGTGGGTGCTTCTCTAACCGAAAACCATCACTTTAGAGCTATAGTGATGATACAACGTTACTTGGTCCACGCTGCCCGACCATCCTAATCTTGCCAAAGAATAGGACCTAAATTGCCCAATGGATCCACTAGTATACTATGAAATAGGTTCATCTAAAAAGTATGGCCCTCTTCTACCCATGATGACTACATGGTTTACATGGAGACTTGAGTAATATGAACTCGCATCCCCACATGGTGCTTAATACTACTCCAAAAAATATATACTAACTCTTATTCTTTTAAAACATACTGATTCTGTGGTTTGAGATTAAGCTTCAAACTTAGCTCTAATCGCTCTGTTGGAAATCATAGTTTCCCTGCTTGTTTTATTTCATAAAGCTATTACTTCTATTTGAAAACTAGTCTGAATGCTCTTTACTTGTTTAAATGTGAAAACATTTGTAATTCTTAGGAATTACTTAGTCTCCTTATAACTCTTGAGAATGAACACAACTTTTTACTCTTGCTTAACTTGTGACTTGATCTTAACTTTCTTTGAATTGAAGCATAGATTCAAGGATCATGATCTCATGTTTATGGATGATCTCACGATGTTTACATGTACTTTAGAGTGTTGGAATCAACCAAGAAATGCGGGTAAATCACTTAGAAACTAGTACGAAAAGATTGGTGAAAAATGGGAACTTCTGAGAGGAAGGGGTGCCAGATCCTAACACACATACATTGTCCTCAAGCGCTCTGGCTGGCGCGGCGCGCCAGAGCTTGACAAACAGAGTCTATCCTGATGGGCTCTGGTAGGTGTGGTGCCCAGGGCTTGTCAGATGGGTTTTTCGACTTTTCTTCTCCGATTTCACTTCTAAACCTCCCAAACTTCCATGGATCTCCCCCCAAACACTCAATATCACTAATATCCTCAATACCGAATAGTTTATATTTGTAAAACAACCCTGAAACACGAATTAAAACCACTAGGGATGCACCACAATTCTACGAACAAGATTTCAACAATTGTTCATAAAGAACTTCAAGATTCACCATTCAATCAATACAAAACTTGTTGAATTAAACATATTGGTGTGTGGGTGAATGGGCCCAACAAAGAATTATCTCACATTCCTCGATAGGGATCACCCCTGACGAATTCCACTAGCGAAACCTTAGCGTTCTTGAAGAATTCCTGATCTTCCTCTTCTCTTTTCTCTTCTCCCCAAGCCCTAAGCGTTCTTAACTTTTGAAAAACTGAATTGGGACTTGATTTTACCCCTAAGAAACCCTTAAAACGAATTAGGAAATATTAGGGTGAAAAGACAGCTTTACCCTTATAAAAATTCGGATTGAAATTTTCTCAGTCCAACAACCCAACTTTCAAAAGACATATTTCCGTCATTCGACATCAAAAATGACGAAAAACTCACTTTCACACATGGAAATTTTCTAGATTTTCTTATTTACTTCCAAAAATGATTATTCTTGCTTTTTTAGCTTATTCTTAGTTATTTCAAGTTACAAGATGTTACAGTTCCGTCATACGACATCAAAAATGACGGAAAACTCACTTTCACACTTTGGGAATTTTCTAGATTTTCTTATTTACTTCCAAAAATGATTATTCTTGCTTTTTTAGCTTATTCTTAGTTATTTCAAGTTACAAGATGTTACAGTAGGGGAGCATAAAATGAAATTTGATGTTTAAAGTATTTTTAAAAAACAAACTTAATTTTTTTTTGGGAGGGGGGGGGGGGGCTGGTAAGGATGAAAACATAAATTTTTGAAGTTGAAAATATTTTTCAAAAAATAAACTTAATTTTTTTTAGGGTTAGGGGCTGGGTTAGGGGGTGGGTTGGGGGCTGGTAGAGTGGAGTGGGTATGGGGAGGTCGGAAGAGAGCTTTGGAAAATGTTTTCCTTAAATTTTGAAGGAAAGTCATTTTCCTTAAATTTGAGAGAATGAGCTGATTTGAAAAAAACATTTGACCCAATCAAATTTAAGAAAATTGAAAAACATTTTCTAAAAAATGTGTTTATTCATACCAAACACACCCAGAGAGTGGTTGGAGAATCTATTTTCTATTTTTACTCTCTAAATATATAGAATGAACAGTAAAAATAGTAAAAATAGAGATGAAATAGAGATGGTCTAAAAGAGGAAATTGATAAAATAAGAACTAATATTATTGTACAATCTTAAGAGGGCAAATTAGTACAGATATTATTTTTTTCATAGTAATAAAATTATCGAAGAATAAAATAGTTGTTACCAAAAATAAATAAATAAAAAATACATTAAATATCACGGTAGTCTAGACAAATAAAAATTTTAAATGCTTGGAAATGATTTCCCATCAAATTGAGTCACTTTTCCAATGTTCGAAAACTATCATTCATCTTCTCCAACTTCATATCATTATTGTTCATCAAAACAACCCTTTTTCATGAAGAAGATCGTCTCTTCCATTCATATCATTCTCTTCTTCAATTTCTCTCCAATCCACCCTTACCATCTTCCATAATTATCCCATTAGTCCATCAATCTTCGCATGTAACTCGATAATGAGAGCATATTCCATGGAAGTAGAGTCTTTGAAGCTCTTTGAACAGTTTCAAGAAATTGGATTAAAACCAGATAAACTCTCTTTCCCTATTGTGCTAAAGGTTTGTGGGCATTGTTTGATGATTGGAGCGGGTGGGTCATTGCATTTGATGTCTGTGAGGTCGGGTTTCAGTTAAGATTTATATGTAAAACGATACCATTTTAAGAATGTATGCAGGATTTGGATTGATCATGTTTGCAGGACAACTGTTTGATGAAATGCTTGAGAGGGGTATAGTTTCTTGGAGTTCTTGATGGCAGCTTATATTCATTGGTATGTATATTTGTTTGGCCCAATTGTAAAATACACGTCTGAATTATCAATATTATGCCAATTTCACATCCCAACTATCAATTGTTCTATGTATTAAAACACATATCAAAGTTTATTTCACCAAGTATTAGTTGTTCCTTTTTCTAGGAAAGGTCCCGAATCCCGATCACACTCTTTAAAATGGGAAATTAACAAAGAAGGTAAACATTCATGGGTGAGATGCATGGGAAGTCACGAAAAAGTTAAAATTAAAGTGTGAAATTTTAAAATCTTGGTTGAGTATATGTAAATGGTGATATTTCACGTAGAAAAAGGGAATAACTAATAGTTAGAGTGTGAAACTCACAAAAAAGTTATAGTATTACGTGAGAGTTGCTTAAGATGATTATTATAATGGGAGTCAATAGAAGTACCAAACTTTATGTAGATTTTCGAGCACAACAAGTTTACTACTTTTTGGAAAGTAGTTTACGTATCATTCTGTTAGGAACTTCCAAGGGTTAAGCTTCTTTTGATAGTTCTGACACATAGTAGGTCACAATTTTTATGAACACCGCAAGCTTGTAACCTTCAGAAATTTGGTGCATGGTATTTATGGTTCTCTTGAACAGATATATATATGTATATGTTATCTAGTACTTCTGCTGAAATTTTTAAAATTTATCCCAGATGTCGATTATGCATACTTATTTTGTACTATAAGAAGAAACCAGTAATACTATTACTTAGATGAATTAGCTTGAATGAGGAGTTCAAAACTTGTTCACTAGTCTAACTTTTCTGTTTTTACTTCTTGCTGCGATAGATTGTTAAAATGGGCCTGGGGTTCATATCTGAAAGGATCAGTACGGTGTTGAGCCTTTAAAATCGTGAAAGGTGCATACACTCCTAAAAGACCAAGGATTAACAACGACTATCTTTTGTGGTTGACATTTTTTTCTTTTTAACTGGAGAAGAGCATGTACTCCTGAAAAATAAGGGAGTAAAAATGAAGAAAAATTTTATGGTTGAGATTTCAGTGTTTACCTAGGAAAGGTCCCAATCACACTCCTTAAAATTGGGAAGTAACAAAGAAGGTAAACTTTTATGGCTGAGATGCTTTCAACACTACCAGTCTCTTGATTTGGATATGTTGGTCTCACTGCTGTATTTGTTAACTTTTGTTACAACAGAGCATGTTATTTTTTTTGTTCTGTATTCACTATTTGGATTCATGTCCAATAAAAACACAGCGGTGGAAGCCCAATTTCTGCAAACCAATCTTTGGAATTTTTACCTACAAAACTTTTGGAATGGGAAAGCTAACACGTGGTGTTGCAAAATGAATTTGCAACCCAGAGAAAATAAATAGAACAGTAACTAAGAGCTAAGAAAAAGAAAGAAATGTAAGAACTGAATAAAATGGAAACTAGGTTAACTAAGGACTCGTTTGGTAGGCCGTATTAGATTGAATAATCCATGGATTAAAATTTAATCCACTTAATACATTGTTTAGTTACTTCATTTAAATTAATTCATGGATTGCTTATCAATCATATATTATCTTATCTTATCCCTAGAAAATGGAGGGATAACTATTTCAACGTTTGTTAAGCCTTAGATTAGACCCCTAAATGACTAAACTAACCCCTTATTCCTTTTTCTAAATTTCATTTGTATTTAATTTCCTTTTTATTATATTTGAATGGCTATAAAAAAAATTTAATTTCCAAATTCGTTTAGTGTAATTTAATGATTTCACTAATAATTTTTCTCTATTTTTTAGGGAAAAAGATCAAAAATACCCTTATACTATTGAAAATAGCTTAAATATACCCTTAAACTTTATTTTGGATCAAAACTATCCTTCCTGTCATACTATTGGGTCAAAAGTACCCTTCTTATTAACGGAAATTGTTAAATGCCACGTTGATGCCATATGGATGCCACATTGCATGCTAATAGGATTCCACTGCCACGTAGACTAAATAGAAAGGGTCAAAATTACCCTTAAACTATCCAAAATAACTCATATTTACCCTTAAAATATATTCCGACTCCAAACTACCCTTCTCGTCAAACTATTTGATCAAAAGTACACTTCTTATCAATAGAAGTTTTTAAATGCCATGTGGATGCCACATTGCATGCCAATAAGGTTCCAATGCCACATAGACTAAATCCCTAAATCCTAATTACTTCCCCCCTCATTTCATTATTTCAGAAATGATATATTCACCCGTTCTCCCTCATTTTTTGGCTAGGGTTTCATACTTTTCCTTGTGACTGAGTTTCAAAGTGGATATTCATGTTTGTAGGTTAGTAAATATTTTTTCTTATTTTATTATGTTTACGGTTTCAAAGCATGATAGTTAGCATTTCACAATTTTCCCCTAATTTCGCAGCTAAAGCTTCATAACTTTCTTGGGGGCTGAGTTTCGAAGTGGATATTCATAATTTGGTTAGTAAATATTTTTTCTTATTTTATTACGTTTACGATTTCAAAGTATTATAGTTAGAATTTCACAACTTTCTCGTCATTTCGCGGCCAAGGTTTTATAACTTTCTTCGGAGCTAAGTTTCTTAGTGGATTTTCGTGGCATAAACACAATAAAATAAGAAAAAAGTTTACTAACCTATAACCACGAATATCCACTTTAAAACCCAGCGACGAGGAAAACTGTGAAACCTTAGCCGCGAAATGAAGGAGAAAGGGTGAAATCGTTTCTCGAAAATAATAAAATGAGGGAAAAATGAGTAATTAATATTTAGGGATTTAGTCAATGTGACACGTGTGGAATTTAACAACTTTCACTAATAAGAATGTCACTTTTGACGCAATAGTTTGACGGGAAGGGTAGTTTTAAGCTGAAATATAATTTAAGGGTATATATGAGCTATTTCGGATAGTTTAAGGATACTTTTGACCATTTTTCTTTTAGTCTATGTAGCAGTGGAAATCTATTGGGATGCCATGTGGCATCCACATGGCATTTAACAATTTCCGTTAATTAGAAGGGACTTTTGACCCAATAGTTTGACGGGAAGGGTAGTTTTGAGCCAAAATATAGTTTAAGGGTATATATGAGCTATTTCAGATAGTTTAAGGGTATTTTTGACCCTTTTCCGTTTTTTTATTCAAGTTAGTTTGTCATTACCCACTAGAACTATAATTTTTTTTATAATAAAATATGCTTTAGGTATTGAACAATTTAAGTAGTCTTAAATCAATGTTAAGTTTAAAAAATTAGAAATATATTGTACCGTCAATGATTTCTTAGTGGTACATCACACCTTAAAATTAATTAATAACAATTTTATTTATATAGTATTTCATTTAACTAATTATATGGAATAGAAAATTCTTTTAAAAAAATTATCTTCTCGGGTGGTTATCCATCTTGACTCAATTACATGAAATAAATAATAATAATAACACAAAGCTATAATAGGAAAGATTTTTTTTATAGAGTTTTAAATCAAACACAAAATTAAGTGAAAAGTAGTAAGCCAAACACTTGACATACTAATTCCTGAATAATCAATATTTGTACCAAACAACACTGTGTGTATTTCAATTCACAATTCTCATAAAGCAGTGATAGGTACAAATATATGCCTTGGTCAAGCTTCTCCCCGAGGAATCTAGCTGACACAATCGTACTATAGTAACTGCTACAAAATAAGAACTAAAATGCAATAAATAAACTACAATTGGACTAAACAATAAAATGTTCTTTCCCTAACTAACTTCTTCATCAGTTGTTCAGTATCACTTCATGAATTTAGTGAACAACGACATCACTATCAACAATGTCAAAATTGCAACATTTCTCCTCTTTAAAAGCCATTCTTGTCCTCAAAAAAGAAAAGTTGGGAACTTGAGCTTTATTTTAGCAAAGTCTTCCCATGTAGCTTGTGAATGTCCTTCCATTGCACTAAGATTTCATCTACAACCATATTGCGCCTTTTGATCATCTTTCTGTCTAACACCTGATCTGGCTCATCACAACAGGGACTTGCAATGTATAGTAAAGAAAGGTGGTTAAGTACTTCAGGAAATGCATAGCAGGATTAACCTATTTATGAAAAAAGAAGCAGTATAATCTTGTATCAACTTTTTTATATGTTGAGCTTCCCAAGTCGCCTAGCACGAAAAGAGGGAAAAAAGTTAACACTTGAAAAATAGAGTTTGAACATATTTACATGAACATGTCACATACAATAAAAAAGATCAAGTAGGACATGAAGTCATACTCTTAGGTCATCTATATTTTTATTTCAAAATAGTTCAATTTGATTCACTAACATCAAGAGCTCAACTCAAGTATGGATTCCCACCAACCTACTAATGTATCCCAAACACGAGGATGTATGATTGTTTTTTTTTATGATAGAACTATTTATTAACAACAAAAACATTACAATTCTACCTTAATAATAACACTTCAAGCACTTCAATAAACATATTTGGGAAATATATTTTCAACTAGATATTCTAATAACACTTCAAGCACTTCAATAAACATCTTTTAAGAGAGATGCATACAAGAATGCAAGCAAATTATGGAAAACATAAAGAATAAATTAAACTAAATATATAAGAATTCTAATTTTGAGACACTTCAACTAAATGGAAACAAAAAAGATTTGTTAGTAAGGTTCTAAAAAATTCACGTTGAGTAATGGAGCGGCGACGACCCACTGTGCAAGATGATGATGGTTGCGGCACCGGTGTGATGGAGGCGGCGCGACCTCCAATGCGGAGGTGCGACCTGCAGATGGTGTGGGGTAGCGCCTGTCGGGGCAAGGTGGGATGGGCGGCGGCAGCCGGAGCAGGCTGGATGGGCGGCAAGCGGTGGTTCAATGAGGGAGGAGTGAGAGAGAGAGATATTTGACTTAGGATTTTGATATTATCCTTTTTTTCTTTTAAAGAGAAGTGTTTAATCAGTATTTTTTAGAATAATTAATTTACAGACCACGAAATATCGGTATTTTTGAAATAATTATCTATATTTAACAATATTTAATAAATATCAACATCGTGAAGTCGATATTATTTAAATAAAATAATAATTTAAATATACCAAACTCTTTGGGGTTTTGATATTATCCTTCTTTTTTTTAAAAAAAGAGAAGTGTTTAATCAATATTTTTTAGAATAATTAATTTACCAACAACGAAATATCGGTATTTTTTGAAATAATTATCTAAATTTAACAATATTTAATAAATATCAACATCATGAAGTCTATATTATTTAAATAAAATAATAATTTAACTATACCAACTTCTTTGGGGTTTTGATATTATCCTTCTTTCTTTTTAAAGAGAAGTGTTTAATCAGCATTTTTTAGAATAATTAATTTACCGACCACGAAATATGAGTATTTTTAAAAATAATTATATATATTTAACAATATTTAATAAATATCAACATCGTGAAGTCAATATTATTTAAATATACCAACCTCTTTGGGTCTGTAATTCTATATATATATATATATATATATATATATATATATATATATATATATATATATATATATATATATATATATTTATTTATTTATTTATTTATAAACAGAAAAAACAAAAAAAGTTTCATTATATAAATTTAATTTATTGATCAAGTTAATTTATAAATTTAAATTATACACCTCTTAATTATATAAATTTAATTTTATCGATCAATGAAAGTTTATCAATATTTAAATTGATCATCGATATTTATTTAATTGATTATGTATTTCATATATAATTAATTAACGTATTTCATACTCAGATGAAATATTCTTTACATGTCATCATAATTAAGAAGTGATCAGTACACTTCACATACATTCAAGATCGAAAGTATATAATAATACTATCTCATATTTCATAATGAAATAGATTATATGTTAGCTTTTCACCTCTACATCATAACATGAGATATTAAGTTCATGATTAGACGATGGGCTTATAGTTTTGTACATTACTCTATAGAAGTATAATTATATCCTAATTCATATCAACATAGTTTCATACTCTAAATATGGATTACATATATATGTTTTATTTTTTCCACGAAGCCTAACTTTTTATTTGATAAAACAATACAAGATTATTACATTTTTTGAACTATTAATTGTAAGTGTCAAATGAAATTTTAGTATTATGCTAAATAATAGAAATTATGATTATTAGAAATATTTTAAACAAAAGAATCTCCTCTGGATGTTTCTTTTATTAAAATGAATTAAATATAATATAAATACCGATCTCATGAGGTCGGTATCATATTAAATTTTAATAATTAAAAGGAATCATATTAAATAAATAATATTGACATCGAGAAGTTGGTATTTTATATTAGTTTATTTTTTAACTTATATAAACCGTCATACAGAGTACGATTTATATTTAAAGTTAATTGAAAATATTATGTTTTTGAAAGCCATAAATATTTAAATTAAAACTAATTAAATTGCATGATATTTAATTTTACCGATATTCGGAAGTCGGTATCATAATATTTTTTATTTTTTGATTTACGCAAAACCGACCTCATGATGTCGGTATTTAACTGAAATAACATCACCGACCTCATGGGGTTGATATGTGGATGAAGAAAAGATACCGCCTCACTTGGATGAAATAAAAATATCAACTTCATGATGTCAGTATTTGGACGAAAGTAATATACCGACCTCATGATGTCGCTATTTGAATATGTATGAAAGACAAATACCGATCTCATGTGTCAATATTTTATATTAATTTATTTTTTAATTTATATAAAACCGTCATCCGGAAGACATTGTATTTAAAGTTTATTAAAAATATTAATTCACTAATTTTATGGAAGTCATTATACAAATATTTTAATAAAAATTAATATAATTATATACTATTTAATTTTATCGACGTCTGGATGTCGGTATTATAATATTTTTTGTTTTTTATTTTACATAAAATTGTCCTCCGAAAGTCGATTAAATAATATTAAATCAAAATATTTCTCAATTTTGTTTTTTATATTTATTTTGGAAAAAATAAAATATGGTTATTAGTTTATTTTTATTTATTACCGACATCAAGAGGTCAGTCTTTATTGTAATTCTTTTTCTCCGTGAAAAATACTGATCTCTGAAGTCGAAATTTTTTTCCCTCTTTATTTTGCATAAAAACGACTACTTTTATTCTTATATATATACTAGATAGGCACGGCCCGTACTAGCATGGGCCCAAACATTGGATACTTCATGTAGTGAATGCCTTGCATAGTCATGTTTTTACAAACAATATGATAGCCACCAAAGTAATTAAAATAGAGGGAAACAATAGCACATGAAAAATCATACAGTTGAACTTGCATAAGCTTATATGATTGGTATAGTGGAAGTCATATATCACGATTCTGCAAGTTTAGAAAGAAAGCAAATGTTAGGAAAAGACAAATACAAATCTTTTAAAAAAAAATTATGCACAGGTGGTACAAGCCAAATAGTAGTGTCTTCTTGTTCTTCCCAACAACTTTTCCTACATAGTTCTTCCAAATTCCTCGAGCTTGTTAGCTAGATCAACTCCGACTTCTTTCTCTAGAAAGCTGGTACATCAGTCTTACCTATACAATTTAACGACACTGTATAAAAACCATACAACATAACATAGCAAACCAACTTTCACCGTCGATTTCTTATCCCTTCACTCATTTAATTCTGCGCATGACTTCAGTAAATGTTGATTTGGTGCTTGCAAGAGAACATGTTTTATGTTCTGAATTATACATACCATCAATCATTTACTTGATAAGAATCCAGTTGAGTAAATAGAAGTAATGATTTTATGTCAATCGAAAAATCCAAATCATATCAAATGAGTTAAGTCCAGCCTTGTCGTAATCATTTCTCTTGATACTTCTACGTCTTCTACCTCTCTCCATTGTTTACTTGAAAGAGGAAATGACGGAGTCAGAAACTCATACCTGAAAATTCAAAATTAAGAGTGAATTCGCCCTCTTTAACTGAACCTTATACAATATTTTTGAATATTAGCAATCATTTTACAAAAAATAATTGAGATGAATGCAGAAATTTCAGCAAAAGGAGAAGTAACACAAAAATATTAGCTAATACAAACAATAAAACAGTAGTGACATTGAATTTCAAAAAAAAGTTGAACTTATAAAGCAACACATATTTGACAAGTAACTAAAGAAGCCACTATGAAGGCAAAAAATTTACACAGATGTAAGAATGTTAATGAACACTAACTTGCACATATGGAAGTAATCAGTTCCTTCATTTCTTATTTTAAATAGAGTTTTTTTAAATCTATCCAGCAATTTTTTTTTAAGGTAGAGTTCCATTCTTGTTATGTATTCTCCTGAAAAATGACAAATAAGACAATGCATTCTCTAACTGAATATCTTCCTTTGTAAAAAATGTGTCATATTTTCTTTCTAATAGGTGCATTGAGTAAATAAGAGCTTAATATCCTTCAAAACAAAGAAACATTCGATTAGATCCTATGTTTCTCAAAGAACATTGAGATTTTTTTTTGAAAAATCACATGGCATTATAGATTGGTAAAAGGAACTACGTCAAATTATTTGTTTGGATAATCAAATGCTAAGTTCTTCACACCCTCATTATGGTCATGGACATACATTTTCAAAAAGAAGAGCAGGATCAACATTTCAAGTACATCTTCTCACTAATCAAATAGACCAGAACATACTTATCTAGATTTCTCAAAATGATAAAAAGAGAAGATACCTCCACATGTCGTGACCCATAATTTATTTTGATGGTAGCATACATGTAAAATCAATTGGACTTTTAACTGGAATACTGAAATGGGTTGTCTAAAAGTCCAGCTTCTGAAACAACACTATCAGAGGGACCAGGTCCCTTGACACAGCAAAAACAGGCGAAAGAGTAAACAACACAAAGAACACAACACAGATAGTTTACGTGGAAAGCTCATTGCTCAAGGGAGTAAAACCACGACCTGTTGCACAAGATTTACAATCGTTTTTTGCTAATCTTATTAAGCAGAAGTGAAACCCAATTACAACCAATGTGAGAAAAAGTTACTAATCTCACTATCAAGTAATCTATCTATTACTTGAAGAGACTAAGTGGATACAACACCGCTCACTAAACCACCACACTCCGGATGATTTAGAATTTTCTAAGCGGATACCACACTGCCCACCAAACCACCTAACTCTAGATGACTTAAAATTTGACTAAGCAACAAATCAATGTTTCCCACTAAATCAGTTAACCTTAACTGATTTAGATTTTTACAAACCTAAAACAAATATCTGAATCCTTTATAGATTTGGAACAGATTTACAATGTAAGCACGAAAGATATAATCCTAAGACAACTATATATCTTGTAGCTCTATTAGGTACTTGTTGGTGTTTGGATGACACTTCTTGAAGATGACCTTTGCTTTTTGAGCTTTTGGATTTTCTGAAATCCAAAACTTTGTTTGCCAAAACTTGTGTTTGTGCTATTGGAGAAGAGACTATATTCAAATGAACACAAACCCTTGGGACGAGGCTATTGGATGAGAGCTTGCTGTCAAGAAAAGTTGTGCACCAACCCCTTAGAGTTGACAACTTTTGACAGTTGTCTTTTCGTCCTTTTCTCGTGCGGAGACTTCCCGAACCAGGTCCTTTAATGCGTTCTTTGATGCTTGAGTTCTTGAAAAGGACTTGTTTCTCTCTCTCTCTCTCTTATTGAATGAATGAACTTAATATGTTGCTTATCATGTTGAAAGTATCAACCATAAAGAGTTATTAACTGTTGGACAAACAACCTTTTTTTATTTTGATTGGATTAGTACGCTGGCGCCTCACCTACCACTGACAGGACAACTTTATAGCTGTACACCATTATGTATCAGATGGAGAGAACTTTGCTAGGGACCAGGTCCCTGCATTTGTGAGATATTGAAACATACAATCTC